TCTTTTTCGGCAAAGTTTGATTAGAAAGGTATCACTGGCTCTCTTATCTCATAGGGCTGAACGGCCATTCTCTACAAACTCACATTTCGCTAAGCTCACTGTGCTGAACCTTAAATTTCTGTTACAAAAGGACGTACATCATTAGGTATGGCCGTTTAATGGGGCTTTATCATATTAAAGTCAGAAGAGAATGAAGGACAGTCAAGACAGGCTTTCTGAAATACTAGGTAATCTCTACAGTATATGATGTGTGATTTATTTGTTCAGCACCGTGGATTTAATTTACACAGTGGTCATCTGTAGACATATTTAATACTGTCAGAACTAAATAAATTATCATTGTCATACTCAACCCCATTTCAGTCTACAATAAGTGACTACAAAAAGACATGAATACCAAACTAGAAATTGTATTCACCCAATATCTTTGTCTCCAGAACTCCTCAGGCATCCTGAACTCATTTCTTTTATTTGATTTGGACCTATTTTTTTAATCCCATATTTTTTCTAGTCAGCATCCAGAGTGATTAGATTACCCTACGGTATCATTTCATGACTCAGCACTCAAACCTCTGTCAATCCTTACATTTCATCATTCATTAATATGGATGCACATTTTTTAATTTTTTTGTGACCGATAGGCGACGCTAATTAACCAATATCTGACAGGATTAAGATGCTAGGCTATTTAGAATGCTTGTGAGCAATTATATATATTTTTTCCATAAGGGGCTTATTTTTACATGTGCAAATATGGCATAAACAACAATAGATCATGAACAGAACAGAACAGAACACATCATTGCGTTACACACCTGTGGAACTGTGAACAGAGTAAAACAGCCTAATAAAATAGATTCTGTGCTGCTAGCCTGAGGCAGCTCACAGTACCTTAGGCGTGTGTAATATCATAGTACATGTAGGCCATGAATGTTCAAAGTAAAATGGACTACGCTTACAACCTATATTTTTTTGAAAACTGCAGTTACAAGTAAACCTTAGAAAACCTTAGTAAACTGTGTGTTCTGTGCCCTGGCAGGAGATGTGTAGGACAGAAAAAGATGAGAAAGAGAATGTCAGTGTTTTATTGTTTTTAATTTCATTTTGTATTTAGTTTGTTTTATGATTGGAATTGATATAACAAAATCAAATATGATTATTGATTATTTGGGACCACCTAAACTTTTTGTTGCTTCTAGAGGAAGGCAGGTCTTTTTTGGTGATGCTCTTTGTCACCCCATGGAGAGGGCAGAAAAGAGTGTTGGCAGCTTGAAAGAAGTGCCAGTACACCAAAGAGTAAAATGTAGAAGTGCTGGTACTGCATACCTGTGCATATTGGCCCACTTCAAGCACTGAGATGAATGAAAACACACACTGAAATCTCCAGTGCTGAGACAGCTATAACGAAAACCCCCCTCTCTCCCTCAGCAGGTTAACAAAACAGGAATTTATAGCCTGTTATTTGTTCAGAAATACCAACATGCCAACATGTTGTGGGGTTAGTCTGTTTACTGTGAGACCAGCAGTGGAGGAGCTGAATAACATACAGAGTTGAGTGAGATGTTTTTATGAGTGGGTATAATGTCTTAAATATGTTCATAAGCAAGTAGTGTTACTGAGTTCTAATTTATGCAATTTGTTATGGCTTCCAAGCTGATGTACTTTCTTTATCTCTATCAACTTGGGGCCGACTGTGGTTCAATAGGTAGAGTAGTAGTCTCCCAACAGGAGGTTCGAATCACGGTGTCTGCAATCCACACATCAAAGTGTCCTTGGGCAAGACACTGAACCCCCAAGTTGCCCCCGATGGTTAGAGCCATCGGTTGAGTTGGCGCCGCAGATGGCTGCCTCGGTTCTGTACCAGAAACAAATTCCTTATGTGTGTAACATGCTTGACCAAATAAAGGTGATTATTATTATTGTTGGTTCCTTCTTTTGATGGTTTTAATGGATCTCCTTATTTGTAACCATTATGTGTCATAAAGTGGAATCCCTACATTATATTTACAATACAATGACCTGCAATTTTTTACATTGCCATGTGATTTGATTATTTGTAAGTACTATAGTGTTACACTGTTATATTATTGCTACCGATTAACAGTTCCACTCTGGGTTTGTAATTTATACACCATGTATTATACTGTACATACTGTATGTAACAACCCACCAGACTCACATTTAAAATCAGTATACATAGCATAGTATTTGGTAAAGATATATTTATTCCTCATATAAATCAAATGCACATAATTATTGATATTCTTAGTACTTTTTTCACTACCATTGCTTTCTTATTACAGACCAGATTGGCCCAGTGCCAAGCAATTACTGGGGGATGCCAGTTTTCTCAAGCGCCTGACAGGCTATGACAAGGGCAATATTAAGCCCCAGATCCTACTGAAACTGCAAAAATACATCAACAATCCTGATTTCATACCTGAGAAGGTTTGTTTGCATTTCTTGTCATGTAGGGCTCACAGTAAACAGATTTGGTGAAAGTCGATTTCAGACAATTGCTTATGCTTATGGCATTATGGTTATATACATGCCACTGAATTTAGATGTGCAGATTTTGCAGCTGCATAGCCTGGCTATAAATTATAGAATGTGATGCAGTATGTTTCAGTGTGTTACTTGGTGTATTTCCTTACTGTGATGCTGCTGTTAGGTGGAGAAGGTATCCAGAGCCTGTAGGTCCATGTGCATGTGGGTCAGGGCCATAGATCTTTACTCCAGAGCCAACAAAGAAGTTGCCCCCAAGAAGGAAAAACACGCTAAGGCAAAGGTCAGTAATGTAGAATGGCGTATGAATTATAATTTTTAAGCCATATACAGTATAGTACATACACAAAATGCAATTTTATTGACATCACTTTTTAATCATGCTTAAAATCTCACTGCTGCCTATTTCTTTGTCAAGTCTATTACAATCAAAGCATTTATCCACTATACACCTATTTGTGTTTTGTAAGTCCCACTCAATATTGTCCTGCATACATTAGCTTAATGAAGAATAATGTCCCAAATATCACCTAAATGGTTTATTGATTGTGTTTCTCTCCTTCACTTTCTATCACTATCCTAACCATCACAGGAGAACCTGGACAAGACATTGGCAGACCTGAAGGAGCAGCAGCAAAAGCTTCAGGAAGTGGAGCGTAAGATCAAGGTCCTAAAGGAGCAGCATGAAAACAGCTTAAATGAGAAAGAGACTTTGGGTAAGTGGTTTCCCCTTACATGTTACCACTTTTATCCCATCAGTATTTTTAAGTTCTCAGCTACTGTATGTTTTATATAAATTCATGTATGGGAATCTTGAGAGATGTAGCCAAGTCAACTAGGAAATCTTTTCCTATATGTTTACTATTCCTTTTGGTGTTTACGGACGTTTTATTACCCATTTTATTTGAAGAGAAGAATCAGTCTGCCAGATTTGCTAATATTATTTTTTCGCTTTTTCTTTGTGACTCTTTTCCTTCCTCAAAGTTAAAACCATTGCTCTGACACGCGCTCGAATGGCCAGAGCAGGAAAGTTAACTTCTGCTCTAGGTGACGAGCAGGTGCGCTGGCAGGAAAGTGTGGCCAGGTTTGAGCAAGAGATCGTCAACATTGTTGGGAATGTCTTCATTGCAGCTGCCTGTGTGGCCTACTATGGAGCATTCACTTTCCACTATAGACAGCTGGTAGGTACAGATGCTGTGGTACAGTTCAGAGCTTTTAGGGCTCCTCTGTTATTTAGTAAGGACAACTGGTGGGTCCAGCATGAGCATACTGTTGAGTCTCGCACCTCACTGCTCAACACTACACTCAATAAAAAAAGAACTGTGCCCACTTCTCTCATAATTGTGCCTGTTCTTTTGTGAGATGTGATTCCCAATACAGTAAAGCCACTGAATTTGTATGTACCATAGAATATTAAAGCGCAGAGTAAGCTAAGAGTAAAATTGTGTAGCATACGACAAACCAGAAGTTTAAAAATCACCTGAAATCATTTTTCAAACAAAACATAAAACAACCAAAGTAAAGATACATGAACTTGTACATGTTTGTCTGCTTCCTTTCTCTAGCTAATTGAACAGTGGATAATGCAGTGCCTGGAACTGAGCATTCCCATCAGTTCCAGCTTCAGCCTGATCAGCATCCTGGGTGACCCTATTGTCATCCGTCAGTGGAACATAGAAGGACTGCCTCGTGACACCATCTCTACAGAGAACGGGATCCTGGTGACCGAGGGACGCCGCTGGCCTCTGATGATCGACCCACAGGATCAGGTGAACTAGAAACTAGGATTGAGGCATTTCTCTTTCACGGATTTATTTATTGTCAGTCAGTTTCTATTCATTCATTTAACCAAACGTTTCTCACACTCTGCCTTCTTAGGGACAATTTCATGTGATTTTAATACACTGACTACATGGTTGCAGTACCAGTATACAGAACCCTCTCAGAAATGGCAGTTCCTATCAGATATGGTCAAAGATGGTCACTTACAGGCCAATTCTCCAAGACCAAACATACCACATCTAGCTTTCCTACATAGAAAGAGCACAAATCAGCTCATTTAGACTTATAGTACAAATATGTAGAGGATACAAATGTTGTTAACAGCCTCAGTTTTTTGGCATCTTTGCATTTCTCTGTCCTGGGTCGTGATCACTGACATGTTGAATCTTCTCTCCCATCATGTTTGAGCTTCTTTTCTCTGTCTCTGTAATTATTTTCTGTTACTGACAAGCTCCTCTCTCCTGCACATAGACAGATATGGGTCAGACAGAAATTCAGGCTTATTTGTGAAGGCTTCCATGTCTGATTGTATCTAACGAACACATTAAATGATATACTGCAGACTCCCACAACACTGAGTTCCACATACAGTATTGTTATTAACTTTCAGGCTGCACTACCTTCGTTTTAGTTTGCCTTTGTTACATCAGTGGCTAACATTAAAAGGTTATTTCTTTCCTCCTCAGGCCAACAGATGGATCCGCTCCAAGGAGGCCAAACATGGTCTAAAGGTGATCAAGCTGACAGACCCAAGCTTTCTTCGTACCCTTGAGAATGCTATTCGCATGGGCATGCCTGTATTGCTAGAAGAGGTAGGAACACACTACACATCATGGTGAAAGGTACTGATTTGTGATAAAATATAACACCATAATAAATTTGGAGAAGGTAGAAACTTCAGTGTAGAGACCTTTGTTGGACAGTATTTGTGTATGTCTTTTGTTCCTGCACTGTATATGATGGACGGACACTGATCAGACTTGGAGATTCAGATATTGACTATGACAAAAACTTCCGGTTTTATATGACCACTAAGATGGCCAACCCACACTACCTGCCAGAGGTAGGACACAGCAGACACACACACTCCTTTGAATCTTCAGATTTGGTTCAAGTGATACCTCAGTAGTTGTGCATCAGATGCACAATATCAGGTCACTATGGAGTCTTTGACTGAACTAACATCAACTTGCTGGTTGGCAGCCAGGTATTTTGAGTGTTGAGAAAAAGTACTTTTTTTTGTAATAACAAAAACAGTAATGCATGAGAACAGTTATACTCTCCTGGCATGCCAGCATGGTTGGTTTTCAGGCATTGTTTAAAGTTGTAGTCGCCAGCCAGCTTGCTGTGCCACTGTGCTGTACCTTTTTTATTCACACCAGGTCAGGAGAATAGCAACATCCTGTGAATGCAAGCTTTTATAGTACTGCAGCAGTCTATGAAGACCGTAATCAAAATAGCATAAAACTATTTGACAGCTGTCTACAAAGCTTTGTGTTAGATATTAATGGTCAATCACATTAAGCATTGTGTAAAATGGGAGTTAAAGTTGTTTTACAAATGAATGAATATTTAGAGTATGTTTGTGGCTGTGTGATTAAAGTGTGATGGAAATGCATCTTTGTACGGTCTGTTTGTTGTTTAATGTGTGTGTTTCTGTTGCCTTTCAGGTGTGTATCAAAGTTACAATCATCAATTTCACTGTTACCAAGTCTGGATTGGAGGACCAACTGCTCAGGTACCAGCTGGTGTTCTACTCAAACCATGGGATTCACATTTACAAACCACTATATGACTCTTTTTGTAGCTCAGTAAGAGTATTTGCACTTGCACCTCAACCATCATATTACCCTTGTGAGCTGGTGATATTTCTACTTGATTTATTTTTTTTCCCAAAATTCTTATCTTTCCCCTGAACTTCCTGCGACCCCTCCTCTCCTCAGTGATGTGGTGTGTCTGGAGAGTCCACAGCTTGAGGAACAGAGGAATCAGCTGATTGTGCGCATCAATGCTGACCGCAACCAGCTGAAAGATATTGAAGACCGCATCCTTAAACTTCTCTTTACCTCTGAAGGGAATATACTTGACAATGAAAAGTTAATTCATACTCTCCAGGAATCAAAGGTAAATCTGGAATGAGGCAGAGGTCATATGGATGTCTGTCTTATGTACATAACATCTTAATTGTTATGTACTATTAAGATGATAAATTGGCATCTCCTTCAAAAATTATTTCACTGATGTTCAGAATTTTCCTTCTGCAGTTCTTTTTTTTTGTTTCCCTCCTACATCTACCTGCTGTTCCTCTATTTTGTTTCTTTTGTAATTTTCTCACTGTTTCTACAATGCCCCAGGTGACATCAGAGGACATAAAGCATCGTCTGGAGGAGGCAGTGGACACTGAGTTGATGATTAACTCTGCAAGGGAACGCTACCGACCTGTGGCCACCCGAGGCTCAGTCTTGTACTTTGTCATTGCCGGTCTCTCTGAGATCGATCCTATGTACCAGTTCTCCCTCAAGTACTTCAAACAGGTGAGAGAGAGTACCCAGGTTTTATTTTAAAAGCCACAGACAAATCTCCATCTGACATTTTTAACAGGAACATAGTCTGGGGCTACAAGCCTCCATGTAACATACTTATTTTTTTATATTAAATAAATCTCTCACATGGTTGTTTTCTTCTTCATCCTCAGCTCTTTAACTTCACCATTGAGACATCAGAAAAGAGCAGTGTGTTAGAGCAGCGTCTGCAGATCCTTGTGGACCAGATCTTGCTCAACTCCTACATCAATGTGTCCCGTGGACTCTTCGAGCAACACAAGCTCATCTACAGCTTCATGTTGTGTGTAGAGATCATGAAGCAGCGTGGTGAGATCTCAGATGAGGAGTGGCAGCATTTTCTAAGAGGCGCTGCATCTTTGGAAAAGGTGAGGTGGGGTGGGGAATCAAATCATCAAGCTCTGATAAATCCTGGTGTCAGATGAAAATCGGTTTTATGAGGGGGATGGGTGTGGTGGTGACTGGAATCCAATTTTTGCTCATCCATTTTTTTTGAAAATTATGTAATGAACTAGTTAGTGACACACACAACCTACCATCTATACTTAAGCTGTAACTTAACTAAGTTGTCTGCAAACAAAACACTGTCACAGAGAGTGACATTTTACCTAGTGCATCGTTCAGGTGATACAGGAGAGAGAGACACAAATAGCTAGTGTCGGAAAGCTGAATATAACTGCCTATTTTAACTGTGTCACAAATTCTCAATTAAGAAAATTTTTTTTCTTCATATTTTTTGACTGCTGAATATTATAACCACTAGAAAATAGAGAAATCTGTTACAATTTGTTGGCTGGATCCTCTTTACTGCAGATAAACAAGACATTGTTTTATTTCCCCCCCAAATTATCTTCATTCTTTCCCACTTTTATGTCCGACTGTGTCTTTCCTCTTGACCGTCTTATTGCTCAGGAAATAGTGAAACTGATGGATATAGAGACAGTAGAATGGAGACAAAAGAACATATGAGTCATTTTGTGGAGAGGTTGACAAAATAATTATTTCTGTGAAAGAGAGATAAGAAATGCAGAGTATCTCTGTCTGTCAGCAGTCCAAACAAACCTGCCTGTAGCATGCTAATAGAGCAATCAGTGCAAAAGTTACAGTAGCTCAAGTCAGATATCATGTCCTTCTGGACACCTTCAGAGGGGCTAAATGAGGTCATCTGAACTCTAAACAGTCTATAGATATGTATTTCTCCATAATTCTGATCTTCTCTCTCAAAAAAGGGCAACAGAAAGGTGTCTAGTTGAGGCACCGCTGGTTTAGGCAGTAAAGGAACTTTGAGATTTAGCTTTGGTTTTATTGATAGTTACTGATAGTTTTAAGACCACAAAACAGATAAATCAGTGACATCCAAAGGTATGGCTATTTATATGACATTAATGAGGCTAGCAGTGTTGCCCATCAGCCGTCGTGATCCTCATACTAATGCTGTCCTTCCTTTCATCTCCCACACCTCTGTGTTTCTGTCTTCTGTCACAACTTCAATACATTCATCATCTATGTTTCACTTGCTAATTTGGAATTCTGTTCGAATTTGTATTTGCATTTTCATGCCATTACTCATTTATCTGTTGTGACTACCTTCCTTAGATGTTTGGAATCATATCATCTCTTTTACACTTTTATTGACATCCTTTATTTCTTGTTTATTTCCGCTCTCCTCAAAGTCTGTTCTTCATCTTTTACCTATCTCTACCATTTACTGTTGTAATCATCTCCTCTTCTATTTCCCCATCTTCCAGGACTATACAGAACGGCCAGATGTGCCATGGCTAAGTGATTTTTACTGGCAGACATGTTGTGAGCTGGAGGACACACTGCCCTGCTTCAAGGACATCTCCAAGGAAATCACCAGAACCCATATCCACATCAAGCTAGGTAACCTAACCCAGCTGTTACCTTGGCTGATCTAACAAGAATCACCATATTTAGTGCACTGTGTTTCTGCTACACATAAAAAGTAGAATGTTTCACCTAGTTACAAAACAATTTTTAACTGTCAGGTTTATATTATAAATATAAGCCTGACACATTGCATGGTGTACAAATCTACATGTAAACTACTGGACAAAGAATCGTTTTTGAAGACTTGTATAGCATTAATGACAAATGCCTCTCCTTTAGGGTGTTTTCAAGCATCTATTAATCCAGAGACCTGGAAAGACTATGTGTCAGAGTTACCTCCTCTTGGGGAGTCCAAAGAGGTGAATAAGGACAGCGAGATCAAAGGCTACTGGAATGAGAGGTTGGGGACCTTCCAGAAGCTAATCCTTATAAAAAGCTTCATGGGAGAGGAGGTATGTTTAGATGAGCTATATCCGAAGATGTATATAAATATTTTGGAAATTGTTTATTTGCTTCTAGACCAACATGATCACAGGAGGAATTTAAAATTATATTTTGTCCATGTCAGATGATGTTATATCCTTATGCCCAGCAAAGATTTAGCTAATTGTGCTAATGTAAAATTACTCTGGTCTTCAGCCCTGCCTGTAGCCCTCAGCAATACCTTGAGGTATAGTCTTCTGTCCCTTGCTCTCCCATGGAAAACCAGATATGTCATCAAAAGAGTCTTAGAAAATAAAACCTTTTTGTCTCTGTAGTGCCTCTGTAGCCCACTTTCAATAAATATACCCATCACTTATTACATTTTATTACTGGTTATGTCTCCGTAATGTCAGTCTTCCTCAGTTCCCTTGGTTATAACATCGGTTAAAATTGACTTTTTATGTCTATCCCTTTCTTACTTACTTGATGCTGTCTATTTACCTCCTCCTTTGTCACACCTTTTCATGCACATACTGTAATTCCTCCTTCTCCTTTCCAGGTGGTGTTTGCAGCAACAGAGTTTGTGATTGTCAGCCTGGGGAAGCAGTTTGTGGAAAACCCTCCAGTTGACCTGGCAAACCTCTACAATGACATGTCACCCTCCACCCCACTGGTCTTCATCCTCAGCACAGGGTCTGATCCCATGGGTGCCTTCCATCGCTTTGCAAAAGAGAGAGGATGTCTTGACAGGTAAAAAAGGCACATAGGATAGTTGAAGTGAGCTAAAGGTGACCTGTAAAGGTTGTCTACAGTAGTTATAGTATACCAGCAGCGAAAACAATAATGAACTCCTCCAGTCTTGTATACCAATCTTCCAACTTCCAACTTTACCAGAGCATGTTATAATTTGAATCATAAAAAATAGACCGAGATGTATAGATAGATAGATCATCTTATAGTACCAAACTAAAGTAATAATCAGCATGTGTATAGATAGATAGATACATAATCTTAAAGTACCAAACTAAAGTAATAATCAGCATATGCAAGTATGTGATCCAAATGTTAGTTCCATCTCTCACTGTCTCTTAGAGTTGAGTCCATCTCATTGGGTCAAGGCCAGGGGCCAATAGCAGAGAAGATGATCCATACAGCGCTGCAGAATGGCAACTGGGTCTTCCTGCAGAACTGTCATCTGGCTGTCTCCTGGATGTTAGCCATGGAAGAGCTCATCAAGACTTTTACTGAGCCTGGTATTGTAACATGAGCATAAAAATATTTATGTAAAATGTGTGTGTGTGTGTACATGGATTATTACACAAGGGCAGACCAATTTCAGATGTGGGTCGTATCGGATTTTCTGTTCTCTTGCCCTTGAAAATAAGATTGATGGATCCATTTTAAGGTTTTCATCTGGACTTTGTATATATAACATGGCATGAAAAGCAAAATTACCCAGTGGCCGTTGAAAGGTCACAGCTACCAGAACCGTGCTGGAACTTTGTGTAACATCATCATACTAGTGGTTCAGTTCAATTTAATTTACTATTGCTACTACTGGGCTTTAATTTACCACATTAAATTTGATATCACTACTACTGGGCTTTGATATGGGTTAGAAGATTATCATAATTAATTATTCATTTAAAGTACTAGCATAAACTGTGTCATTGTGGTTGAGTTTATATGATATGCATTTCAGTCTTTATAGTGCTTATACAAGATTATACAATCTTGTATAAGCACTGGGCTTCAATTTAGTACTCGGCCTGATAGGTGGACAGATAAGTCTCTACAGCCACTCTATTACATGTGGCACATGTAAACCCACAGGTGTAAAAGAGGCACTGGGAGAGAGGGTTTTTTTGGGTGGGGGTGGGGGGTGGGGGGGTCATTTTATAATTTGCCGACTCAGAACTTTGTAACATCTTTGTGACTTGACCTGCACAGCTCTAATGTGTACCTGTCTCACTACAACTTGAAAAAGTCAACAAAATATATAAACCCAAAGCAAATACAATGCAGTATACACATTACAGAACTTTTATTTTTACTGTGTAGTTAGATATTCCTTAATGAATTAATTTCTTTGAGTATGAATAATAGTTCTCTCTGTTCCTGTGTAGACACATCAGTCCACGAGGACTTTCGTTTGTTTCTCAGTTCCATGCCTACCAATGTGTTTCCTGTTACAGTACTCCAAAACTCTGTCAAGGTAAGCACACATACACACACCTTGTGCCACTATAATCTCAGTTCAGTTCAGTTCATTTGAAGATTGTCAAAGATTGTGCTGCAGGATTAATGTTCTCAGTATGAAGAAATTTCTTACATTCACTTCCACTGGGAAAACATTCAGCTTTGAAGAAATGAGCATTTTCTCCTGTGAGCATTATATAGTTACTCTTGCTTTTTTATTATTTTTCTCTGTGAGGAGTTTTCCTATTATTCATACTGAGTATAACATCTTGGACTTCTGTGGGAAACTTGCATTTGATACTACGCATATTGTATTTGTACAGAAATCTATTAATTAATCATTTCAGTTCTATATTCTACAGATAGTAAGTTAAAGAAAGCTTATTAGTTACAATGTAATTAGATAATAGCACTAGTTGTGTCTGTTGTGATAATGTACTGTAAATACAAAGGCAAAATGGATGTGATTTGCATTCATTATATTGGTAAGGTATGCAACATTTTTCATACTTATTAGCTGAACAAAGGTAGAATTGGTACACTTTCCTAAAAGATGGTACAATGTCAGTACAGTGTTTCAGTACTCAGTAATGCCAGGCTGTAGGAGGAACAAGGTTTTATTATATAGGTTTATTTAAAGATTTAATTCCTTTACTTCTATAAGTAAGTAAAAATGCCACAGATCAGTAAATGTATTGCTTTGACACTGTTCTCATAATGTGTGTATTTATCTACCACAAAGCCTATTCAGTACTGTACATTACAGTTCAGGCAAAAGTTACACAGCTGCTATTTGTTGGTTAAAAAACAAACTAACAAACTGATAAACTTGTTGATGGTGGATGTCAGGCACAAATCGGGAAGTTGAAATTTGGGATCTGTGTGTAAAGTACATCATCTGGGAACAGCTACAACATCACAAGTTAAAATAATAGCAGCAAATGACCGTGAGTATGTACTGTACATGTCAGTCCTAGTTTTAATACTGCTGAGTTTTTCTCCAGGAATGAATTAACAATTCATTTTAGCAGTAACATCAGCTTCAGAATCTGGGAAAAGGTTCCTATGTTATGTCACATTTAAAGTTGCAGCTGGTGAAGGGGGAGCTAGTTTTAACAAGCTTATATGTTTATAATTTGAAGCACTTTACATACCAATGGGTAGCTTGTGAATTTTCCACTGGAGAACAATAAAGTCTAATGATACTATAATTTTTGTATTAATCTGGTTCTGTAAAATACCTAGTAACTAAAATGATAAATAAAATTTAGTGGAGCAAAAAGTACAATATTTGCCTGTAAAATGTTGTGAAGTTGAAGTATGAAGTAGCAGTAAATGAAAATATTCAAGAAAACTACAGATACCTCAAAATTGCACTTAAGTACAGTACTTGACTAAATGTACTTATTTACTTTTCACCACTGGTGGTTAGTAACATAAATTTTTAGGTTACTTTCCAGTACACACTGTTTATGTAAGCTATGCAATCTTTGATTAAAGGTAAGGTTGGCAATTCCTTCCAGAAGCATTTTTGTTACACTTCTTGATTTTCTCTTTTCACCCCAAAGGCAATGAATACATTAAATGCACTGGAAACTTTAAACCATCTGTCATCTGTGGCAGCAGCAGGGCTGAAAACACCTGACCTGCTTATGTTACCAAGATAAACAGAGTTAGCTGGCCTCCCTGTTCACTTCTCTCCACCGGAAAAGCCTGGACCTCTCAGGCTAGTTATGGGCTACGAGCCAGGGCTAAAGCTGTTTAGCCATGAACCAGAGGTCCCCAACTAAGGTTTGGGGCCGCAGATCTGGGCAGGTAACACCGCATTTGAGAAGCTTACAACTAAAAAAAAAGTTGGCTGCTGCAAGAAGTAAAACCAGAATTAACATTGGTGTGGCTTTTGAATGACGGTGACAACTGAGAGAACAAAAGGGGCTGAAAAGTGACGCCATGGCACTATTCTGTTGTGTTTTCTATATATTGTATTTTTAATCTGTGAAATAAAAATGTATTTATTTTTTGGGGTGGGGGGTTGTTATTTTCCTGTAAGCACTAGTCAGGCAGTGTGTATTGTGTTTTGGAGAAGTGGCTTTGGAGAGAAGTTAGAACAAAAGAATGGGATTTCTTTGGATGTCTACTTCCAAATGAAGTTTCCTCTTGATGGTTTTTCCAGGATCACCAACCCTACCTTTAAATATTCAGTAACTGCTTAAAAACGTCATTAAATATAATTGAGAAACAGTTTTGTTTGGCTTGTTTTTGTAGATCTGCAGCATCAGGTTGTGTCTGCAGTATAAACTTTACATGAGAGTTAATTATCCAGCTTTCAGGGTCAGCAACAAAACAAAACTGATGAGAGGGAATTATACATACATTTCCAGGAGGGAGAACTGTAAGACCGTTACAGTTATCAGAACTAGGCTCATCCGCTGCCTACATAACAAGGAAGACTAGCCTGATACCAGTGAGAACACAAGATTTTTGCTAGTTTGGGCAAAACTTGAAGCCTTCGAACCCTGTGTGCTTGTGTATGTCATTGCCAGGTGACTAATGAGCCTCCAAAAGGCCTGCGAGCCAACATGCGACGGGCCTTCACCGAGATCTCCAGCAGTTTTTTTGAAGACCACGTTCTGGGACGCCAGTGGAGGAAGATTGTCTTTGGAATCAGCTTTTTCCATGCAATCATCCAGGTTATATCCATATTATCATTACTGCTGTGAGGGCCTGGGTATTTTTTATTCTCTTGTTGCATGCTTTTGTATATGTTTGCATTGTGTGTGCCTGTCATTCTTCATATGTCCTTGTGTTTTGTCTTCATCTGTCTTAGGAACGGAAAAGGTTTGGCCCTCTGGGCTGGAACATTGGCTATGAGTTTAACGACAGTGACAGGGAGTGTGCTCTGCTCAACCTCAGTCTCTACTGCAAAGATGGCACCATCCCTTGGGATGCTCTCATCTACATTACAGGTAGGACGTCCACATAGAGGGATAACTGTATTGTGTGTGTATTTGCGTAGACATATAAATTTTGCTAGTAAATAAAACATAAAGTGCAAGCATTAGATGAAACTTCAAATTGTTTGGCTGTAAAGAAGACGGGAAACAGTATCATTTTATCTTCATATTCGCTGCCTTATTTGTTGTGTTGCCAGTGTGTGACACAGACCGCACTCTGTTTTGTCAACAACACACATTTTCAGTGTCATGTGAAATGGTTAAAGCAAAATGTTTGCTAATTTTACAAAGCATGGCTGTTCTGTAGCACTGTTTCATTCTCTCTTGCAGCTATGGTCTCTCTCAAGAAACACTGCTTTTTTTCCTCTGTCCTGTGTTTATGGAAATAACGTGGAAACAAACAGATGTCCCCAGCAGATAGGGAATTAAACTGTTTGGATGCACAGTATGTAAAATAAAGAGAACAAATCACAGCCTTTATTATTGCCCATTTATACCAATGACAATAGCCTAATATTAGAAACACCTGTCAGTATAATGAGATTAAATTCTACAGGACCACTAACTACAACCTCCGGAATGGCAATGCAGTTAAATTAACCCTTAGAAAAGTTTCTACAGAATGGAACCCTAACCTTCATGAAGGTGGGATTTATTAGAGGACTATCATTTGAGTGTGATAGCTTTAGCAAGGTATACTGATAAACTGGCGACTGAGTGTGTGCCTGTCGCACAGTTCTGTAGAAGATTACTAAAGTCATCATGCCTTGCCCACTGATTTTGATGGATGACTGATAGATTTCATAAACATGACATTATTTAAATGAAAATTCAAATTTCCATTTTCCACATCCATAATTTGTTTTTTTCAAATTTAGATAACTGTACATGAAACATGAAGGTAAAATGCAGTTTTATTGTATTCCAATATCCTATCTTTGGCATACATATGGACACAAATTAAGTTTCAGTTGAATTTAATTATGTCAGCCTAATACTGTTTATCCTGAGCTTCCTGGACAGACATCTTCAAAGTTATTATAAAGAAGAAGGAGGCGCATCCCCTTTCATTAACAATACTCATCACATTTTTAAAGTTCATTTGTTTCCCTAACCTCATTTTCAATTACACCTCCAAATGATTATGTGCTGTGCTCAGTCTCAGTGGAGCACATCACATCAAATTGGTATCTCCCATTGTTGTTATCACACTACTGTGCTATTAGTTTAAATCTTGATTCTGGCAGTTCTTGTGAACCAGAGCTACACAGTCTTTGATGGAAAGAATATGGGCTCAAATCAAGCATAATTGCCTTTCCTTTTTTTAGAAGCAACTGTTCCTCTTGTCTGGTGTTTAAAAAAGAAAAGGCTCTGCCAGTTCTGCCACGCCTGCTGCTTGTTTACTAAAGGTGTCAGCAGAGATTTGTCTGAATATTGTGTAACTGTGTGAACATTTACAGAAAGCATGGAATTTAAGTGTTGACATGTTAAATGTTAAGTAGCATTTAATTCATCTTCCTTTTGCTCTTTTGGTAATATCTGTATCCTTGTGCCATGCTTGTCATAGTCTTTTTCCCATTGTCTGTCTTGACATCAGGCCACACAGGTTTCAGCCTCTCTGTGTTGTGCATTATTGCATGAGAAGTCAAAGAGCTCTTTTTGTGTGTAACCTTTATAATGAGGCTACACATGTAGTCCTTCTGTGTTTTTATGAGATACAAAGAGACTCAGGTGGGCACAGCATTCAAACTTTTTATGAATATTTTAATAATAATGAAGGTAATATACAATGTAGTACTAGTGTTTACAGTGCATAGCTCCATTGTGTCTGTCAGTGCAATCCTCAATGACCAGAGTCTGACATTTGACCAGAGTTTTTAAAGTAAATACATTAAATTTTTACTAAGAAAGGAGATGCAGCCTTTGACTCAAGTGTCACACATCACTCAACTGTCTACTGCTTTGCAAGGATGTTATAGAAAAACTTACAGTAGTTCAAAAGGGAAATAACACAAAGGTATACAGCATAAACTAAACCATGAGGTAGAACGTGCAGTGTGAACTTCCCAGCTGAGGAAGTTGGAGAAGGAGAACAGGACAAACAAGTGTTTAGTCATGAGGACTGAATGAAATTTGGAATCATTTCAATGTGGCACTTGAGGCTTGAGCTCAAACTGGGACAAAGGTAGGGAGAGAACCGCATACTCTAACACTTAAAAAGGAACACTTATGCAAACTAATAATATTCAGTGGTGATTGTGCCTGCCTCTCCAGGTGAGATCACATATGGAGGCAGAGTGACAGATGCCTGGGACCAACGCTGCCTCAGAACTATCCTCAAAGGCTTCTTTTCCCCTAATACTCTGGAGCCTGGTTACACCTACTCCTCCTCAGGTATTGTGAAGTCTCCTTCTCTGTTTTCCTTGATTCTGTAAATAAACAAAATCACAGAACTGCTTTACAATATATTAAAATCCCATGCAGCAGGTCTCTGCATGTCTGTATGCAAAAGTCCATTTGTTACAGTGTATGCTAGTGCTGCACGATAAATTATTTTGTGAGGTAACATGGCAGAATCATTGTCACATGAGACTGAGATCACACAGGGATCTAAATTACGCTCACAAAAGAATTTATCATGCAGCCCTAGTATGCGTACATATAACTGTACATTTTCCTATTTGTATTCATAGTTTTCTCTCCCCTCTGTGTTAAGGCACCTACTATGCCCCAGATACAGATGAACTAGAG